CCTCCCATCCCACAGCTCTGCTGCCCCACACCCCCCCCCCGTGCCCCGGCTCACTCAGCCTTCTTGCTCTTGTGGTAGGAGCGACGCCAAGGGCTGCGCCAGGAACGGCGCTTGGCCAAAGTCTTGTCGGGCAGCAGGGCGGCCATGGAGCCCTCCAGCCGGTCCGGCTTTCCACAGAGGGCGTGCTCAGTGGAGCAGTAGTAGGAGCACTCCCCGTAGAAGCAGACGTTGCCCGCTGGCCGTGGGGACAAAGCAAAGGTTGACGAAGAGCGGGGAGGCAACGGGCTTGCTACCCCCATGCGGGGTGAGGCCGTGCTACCACCACCACCGCGGGTGAGGATGCTCCGTGCACCATGGCCACGTGCCACTGGCAAAGCAATGGCAAGGAAGGCCTGGAGGAGCAGAGCCCCTCGGGAGCTGGAGCTGTCCCCAAAGGAACGGTTTGCCCCGGTGCAAGGGGGAAGCGGGGCAGGAGCAGCCGGCTCCAGGTGAGTTCCGTGTTGGTGGCTGCCGGAGAGGATGGACGGCATGAAAGCTCACCTGGGGAGATGAAGAAAGTCTTGGCCAGTTTCTTGTCGGTGGTAATGTCACGGATCTCCTTCGTTATATTGACCAAACGGCCAGAAACTGGGGGGATTCGCCGGAAATCCAGGATCCTGAAACACAGAACCTGGAACCATTTTCTTGCTGACCCTGGCTGGTTTTCACAGCAAGTTATTAAAACCGCTGCGAGACGCAGGTATCCCTTGCAATGGGGAGGAAGAGGTGGGATGAAGGAGGGAGCACTTTCTCTGCAGCTTTGCTGTCACGAGAGGGCAGAGTTGGATGCAAAGCTTGCCCTCACCTGTCCAGGTGGAAGGCTGCAATCTCTGCGTTGTGCCGCTCAAAGTCCGAGAAGTAGAAGAAGTCGATGGGGGTCTCCTGGTCCCGGGTCTGCCTGGGAGGAGAGGCGAGGATTGGGGGTGATGGCCATGGATGGGGTCACCCCAAGCGTGGGCTTGGCTCCAAACCACCCCTCACCTTGTGTCCCTGGTGCCACTGGAGACACAGCCAGGCCCAGTCTCCTCCAGTTGCTCCCTGCTGGGTGGTGTGGCCCCAAACCCCCAGCCAGGCCGCCACGCACCCCCTGCTCCCAACCCAAGGGCTGGGAAGTCTTCATGGACTGAATGGTCCTCAGGGACCATCTTCTTCTTTCCACCACTGGAGGTCACTACCCCATCACAAGCTGCGCCCAGCCTGCCGCAAGCACCATCAAGGAAGGCGAGGGGAAGGGGACCACCCCGCTCGCCAAAATTTGGGGGGGGGGGGCCGAAGCGAGGCAGCGCACGAAGCATTTCTCCATTTCTCCCTCCGTGGTCTCCTCCGGCCACTCCTCACCACCTAACGGGACCACGCAGGTGGGCTATGGGGTTGTCCCCCCTGGCTCTACTCACTTCATGGGCTTGAAGAGGGCCTGCCCGTAATTCGGGAACGTCATGATGAGCTTGAGCTGGGTCCCGCCGGACTTCTGGACTGAAAGGGGGCACAGGGGGATGAGGGAGGTGGGCAGCAGGCAGCGGGGCAGGGGCGCGGGCAGGGGTGCAGGCAGGGAGGTGGTACCCGAGCTGATGATCCTCTGTGTGGCCAAGTCCCGGAGGAGGGTGGGCATCAGGGGGTCCCGGCGGGGGTACAGCTCGTAGCGGTTGATGCCGACGTGGAATTTGAGCCAGGTAGGGTAGGTGTCGTAGGCCGTCTTCCCTGTCGGGAGGAGCGTCTCGGCTTTACTGCTGCTGACCCTGCAGCCCGACAGCCACCGCCACCCCAACAACAATGACAGCGTTTAGTTGGGACGGGACGGATCCCGTGTCCCCAGGCCCTTCCTGGGAGCCGGCGCATGGAGGGTGAGGTGGGGGCAAAGCCCAGAGCAAGCCCTGGATGGTGGCAAAACGCCCTGCCCCGTGCACCCTCCTTGGGACTCCTGGCACCTGGGCAGATCCCACCCATGGCTGGTGGCTGGGAAGACCCACCAGCACAGCCGGAGGGGGCTCAGTGTCTTCCCCTGCATCCCCTGCAGAAGATCCCTGGGCTGATCCTGCTCCTCTCATCCGTGCCTTTATTTCCCTGCTGGAGCAGCTCGTCTCATTGTTTTTCCCCAAGGGATTAGCTCCTGGGAATACAGCTGGCTACAGCCACCCCCCCCAACACTCGCTGGGGACACACACGCATCCGTAAAACAAGGGTGGAGGAACTGGGGCTTCCCAGCCATCCCCAGCACCGACCTGAACTCTCACCCTCAAAGTCCAGTTCCCCTTGGATGGGTTTATCACCCACCCCTGGTTTCCCCAGGGAGATAAGTTTGGGTTAGCACTATCCCTGTCTCTGTGCCTCTTGCAAATCTGCAGTTTGCTGGCATTCAAGGGGGGCTCCTGGGCGTATCTGCCCCCACTTCTGCACCAGCACCCACCTGCACTGCAGTGGGCCAGTCTGGTCCAGGGCATCTATAACCCAAATTCACGTCTCTCTCTCTAGGAAAATGCAGACTGTGCCCCAATTTCATCAAACCAGACCCATCTCCCATGGTTATCTGTAGGTGAGGTAGTCCTCAGAGACAAGGCGAATGCCCATTTGCGGAAACCAGCTCTTAAACCAGCTTTTATTCTCTCCCAATTTTAGCAGCCACCATGTTTGGAAGGCGTGCTTTCCATAAGGGAGCTGCTACGTGTTATTGACGCTAAAGCTTTTAATATCTTCCCTCCTAATTAGAGGTTAGTAGTCCAGTGATAAAAATAGGCAGCCGGCAGCGGTGAGCTCACCATACGGCCAAGCCTAAAGAGGTCAGGCGATGTCCTGCGAAATGCAGGACGGGAATGGTCTCACGGTTAAAGGTAACCTACTTTGTGGGGTTTGCATCTCCAACATGTCAGAAGAGGGAGATAAAACCGGTTAGAAATCTGGAGTGGGGACTTCCTCAAATATATAGAGACCAAAGGCTAGAGTCTGCATTGGGGAAGAAAAGGAGACGAGGAGATGACCTAAAAGATACCCTACATAATACTATGAATAATTCAAGAGTCTCCTTTGGCGTCACCGTGTGCTACAGGCTCCCGGGTAGCAGCCCAGAAATTCTGAGTTAAGAGAGGACTTGAGGCACAAGAAGAGCGTGCTCAGCAACTGGGACGCTGGTTTACACAAGGAAACGACGGGTATTCTCCCTGCCGCTTGTCCCCTCAAACCCATGTATCCCCCCAAAACACGCCGGGCCTGAGCTCGCTCCTCACCATTCGTCACTCCCGCTGCTGCGCAGGCTGAATTTCTCCATGGGGTTGACGACAAACAGCTTGTCCTTCTCTGTCACCTCCGGCATGGGGATGTTGTACAGAGGATGCTCGAAGAGCGCTGCCAGCTTTGATCCCTCGGTCTGCCCCGCATTCCCTTCTCCGTGCTGGTGCCGGACCCCCGGCTTTCCATCCCTTGCTTGCGGCCTCGCTCCTTGCAGCTGGGAGCCTTTCTCCAAGGAGCCATTGCTGCCGCTGAAATCCTGAAGGAGTCGCAGGCTCAGCTTTTTGGGGCCAGCCAGCACGGGGTTGCCTGAAGGGACGCCTGAGGCTTTCGGTGCTTTTGCATCGCAGCCGCAGGGCCCATGGGCTGCGGGGAGAACCAAATCCATCGCCAGGTGTACCAGGAGGGTCAAGAGCAGGAGGAAGAGGAGGCTGACTTTAAATTTCCTTTGGAAAAGCGTTTGCAGCCGGCGCCGCATCCTTCCTCACCCGAGATGCTCAGCAAGGGGTGGGCACCCACCCGGGGCTAAAAGAGAGTCCGTGCGACCGCAGCCTCTGTGCAAAAACAGGAGCGAGGCGTCCCGGATTTAGAGCATCGCAGCAAAAGAGCAACCGGTGCGAGGGCAGAGTCGTAGGAAAGATCTGTCACCGCAGCACCTCACGGGGTGATGCCACTGGGCCAGGAGGTTGCGGCGGGGTTTATCAGCGCTGATAAGGGGCGAGTTGGTACCGCCAAGGTTAGCGTGAACGGGGCAAGTTCCAAATCAATAGCCGCAAGGCTGGCTCGGGGACAGCGATGGCTGCAGATAACCCCCCGCACCGTCCCGTCCCTCCGTGCCGTCACCCGCACGGGGCTGCAGAACATTTCTTGGTATACAGGGCATTAAAGCAGTTCTGCCCTTCTGCAGCACCCACCCTGCCCAGCACTACGCAGCCCCATTCCCCGTGTCCATCATATCCACACACTCGTAATCCAGGAGTTTTTCTCCTGCTGCTCAGCCACAGTAGTTTTATCACCCTTCCCCACCTATTCAAAATCACTTGTACTCGGCCCCCCTTTCAAAAAACACTCAAATTAGGTAAACTGCAGGGGATGCGGGTATCAGCATCACTGGGAGGGGAAAAGCTGGGCTGGCAGTGTTAAGGAAGGGCTGCCAGGCAGGTGAGGCTCACGGGCAGGGATGCTCCCAGGGCCTCTGAAGCAGGCAGGGGAGGGAGGCAGGCAGGAGCGGGGATGCTGCCTCTGGCATCGGGAGAGAGGGGCAGCAGGACCCTTCGAGCGCTGGGGAGGACTGGCAGCTTGCAGAAGGGAAGGGAAGCCCATTTTTACAAGAAATTCACTTTTCCAGTGACACCCAGGGACACAGAGCTGTGTTGGTGACTCGTAGGGAGGGAGCTTTGGATTTGTTAAGGGACAGAGAAGCATGGGATCACCCGCAACAAGCCTGGGGGCTTGGGTACAGAGTCCGGAGCGACGTTTTTCCTCTTTTCGATTTCCCAAAGGACGAAGAAGGCACGTGAAATCCCATACATCACACAGTCCTTCCTCACTGCATGATGTACCCGCAGCCAGCTTGGACATCCTCGCTCCAAGCCAGGGAGGGTACGACGAGCGGCGAGCAGGAGGGGGGTATGCTGGAGACCCCCCCTCCCTCTTCTGCTGCCATCCCTGCGCTACCCTCTTGCTCGCGCTGCTCTCTCCGCACCGTCCCATGCCAGGTCCGTCCCTGTCGGGCTCGGCCACCTCCCAGCCGGTGCGGCGAGAACGCGGTGTTCCCGGTGTTCTCGGCTCGTCGTGTCCCACGGTGCGACAGTTGCCTGGAAACCGCCTCCGGCTGACACCATCAGCCGCCCCAGATTCAGCCAGCCCTGCGTTCCCTTCCCCGCATCTTGTGCTAACAAGATGGCCGATGGGAGCCGGGGCGAAGGGGAGGAGGAGGAGGAGGAGGAGGAGGAGGAAGAGAGCTTTCCAAGCCGGCTGGCGAGCTCAAAGCCCTGCAGAAGGAGTCGGGCGGAGGGGAGCAGATGGCTTCCCCAGGGAAGGGAACACGGCGTCTTGCTCCAGGAGGTTTGCTGGATCCAGTCCGGACGTACGGTTTGGAATGAAGGCGCCTAGGAGGGGCTGTAGCTGGAACACGGGATCATTAGGTCATTGCTTAGCAAAACAAAAAAAAAAAACAAAAAAACCCCTCCAACAAAAACCATGTGCTAACCGCTCGCATCAAAAGAGCTGGGCTCGGCTCCCGAAGCAGGGCCACAGATTTCTTTATTCCAGAGCCAGCCCTGGGAGACTGAGGGGAGAGAACCCCCCCTTCTTCCAGTGCCGCAAACCAGCTCCAAACTGGACTGAGGGGATAGAGACCTCCCTCCCAAGCCCTAGAGCCAGGCGGGGACAGGGACCCTATGGGCTGAAGCCACCCTACTGACCAAGGGTCCCATCCCCGGGCTAGGGGATCTTGCAATCCTACTCCCGGCCCCGATTTAGCATCCCGTCAGAAAGTGGAGGCAGGGGGATTAGCTGGGGCGCTTGCCACCCTTAGTGCTTCAATGCCAGCATTAAATATTAACCGAAAGATTTTTCAGCGAGTCAGACACGAGCCTGCAGCAACGGGGAAGAGCCGGAGAGCTTCAAAGCCTGCCCCAGTCGCCTGACAGCATGTCGACATACCTTGTTGCCATGACATCATCGCAGGGAAGCGGTTCGCACCTCTTTCTTCCCATCTCCCCCCTCCTCCAGCTCTTCCTCCATCTTCCCAGCGCCTTCCCCACTTCCCAGCAGGTTCAAGTCACCCTTGGGGCAGAGGAGGAGTACATCCGAGGACATTTCCACTGCTGGCACCGAGTCAGGACTCCCTGGCAGCTGATAATGATGTTGCCCATCTCCCCTCCGCGGGGAGGGACGAAATCATGAAGCGCAGTTCTCTGAGCTGCTATCGCAGCTTTCCGGGACGAGCGGATAGAAAGGGTCATTTCGGCTGGCACCGATGCATCACCCTGCGTTTTTCATCTGCTTTTCTACATCTGATTCAGCCTGATGCTTTGATGGGTAATGGCAGCAATAGGCAGGGGGCAAGAAATGAGAGGGAGAGGAGAATGCAATAGCAAGCCACCTGTTGCCAACTTCCCCAGCTTTCTGCTGAAAATTTGCAAGGTAAAATCCTTCAGCAAGGGACTGCAGTTTTATAGTCAAAAGCAGATAGGCCCTAGAAGCTCCAAAGCATCAGTCACAGAGAGGTCTTTTTTGTGGGAAAACACAGCACAAGGGACCATCTCTGATCCATAAACTGTACTCGCCTGAAAATTACAGGCGTGCCCCAAAATGTGCCAGTTCCACAGCAAAAGGAGGGCAAAAGTCTTCTAACACACAGGGGCCAGCGCAGCATGGCTTAGCTGGCAACGGGTCTGAAAATTGAACACTTGCCTCAGAGCAGGGGCCTTGACATGCACAGCTGAATTTTGGGAAGCTGAGGTGTGCGCTTTCGTGTACAGTGCCGATGATGGGCACGCAAACCAGCAAAGACGGGTTGGCTTCTTTGTGGTAACTTCTTGTGGGAAAGCTGTTAGCCTTGGAAACAAAAATAGCCTGCCGCTCTCCTGTGAGCCACCTTGCACTTACCTTGGGGGAGTTACAGTGTGGGAGCTGACTTGCTGCAAATTCGCACCTAGCTCACCTCAATCTGTTTGCACGCCCGTGCTTCGAGAAGGCTGAGGAGCGGTCAGCGTTCGCTTATTGCCGATGCAGGTCACAGAGACATCAGCTTTGGTCAGCTGGTGGCCAAAGAGATAACAAACTGGCAGCAAGGCCGAAAGATTGTGTGCTGAGGTAAGCAGCTTCCTGTGATCATCTGCGGGTCACCACGACCCTGCAGAGATGCCCATGACCAGCGTGTCTGTGCATACGCACAGAGCAGTTAATTATTCATTAGTGTGAAAGAGGCACGATTAAAGTGGCTGTGGTATGTCTGAAGGGTATCATCGTGCTCCAATGCCGGGCATTCCAAAGACGCTGGTTTTACCTTTTCCTCTGAACCTAGAGGAGACAGAAAGTTGTGGAAGAGAAAATAATCTTTTCCACCTGCCAGCTGCAGGAAGTGCCAGTCAACAGTGCTATCCATCTTCACATAAAGGCAGCCAGCTGGAGCGAGACAGAGTAACCACACCAAGAGACAGCTCAAAGGATTTGGACTCTTCTACACTGCACAGTGATCCTGCTGCTGTGGTCCACCTCACATGGTACCGGCTACCTTATGATACCAGTTAAGTGTCCTCCCCCTGCCACCATTCCCTTCCACCTGATCGATAAGGAATTATGTGAGAGCATGTCAGGCCCAGCCAGCACAGATGGTCCAAATTTGAAATAATTTCTAGCTGTCTTCATATTACTCTAATTCCTGGCTTGTAGAAGAGCTCCTGACATGATGAAACAGAGGAAGGACATCTCTAGCATCACACCGAGGTTCACAGAAGGAACAAAAGGAATTGGAAGACCCTCCACCAGTTTGATCCACCACAGGCACTAATGCAGAAAGGTCCTTCGGAACTGAACTATGGGCTAGAGTGTGGCCTCTCATAAAAGACAAGGTGCCAATGGTACTGCTAGCGACATTCCGAGAAGGAAGTCTGAACATCAAGGAAGCCACAAATACGAGACCCTGAAGGTCAGAGCAGAGGCATGCTGGCTGGGCAGAGGACACGGTTACACTCCCTTGCTGCTACTGCTTAGACAGCGGTGTGGACTGAGGACTTTGGCCAGCAGCTCTGGGGGCCTGGCAACCTTCCTCAGCACCATGGCTTGCACTGGTGAAAGGAATTGAACAGGAGGGGTGACAGCATGTCTCTGGCACCGAGAAGTCACCCAGGAAATATGCGGGATGGAGACTCGTCACTGTCCTCCGCCTAAGCTACATCATTGCTTGCTTACTTCTATGTTTCCTGAACTACCTTTCCTTCTTGTCCTCCACTTTGGGATTTTCATTTTAGAACACACACAGAGAAGAACATTTTACTAAATTTTTATTGTAAAAACAGTTCCCCAGATTTATATAAATAAGCCATATACGTAACATACAATTACGTTCATTCCATCCTCCAACACTGACAGCTTTAAAAAAAAAATGAAACGGGCTAAAAGAACGCACGTCCAAAAAGACATTAGGTTTCCGATGACCAAGTGATATCTCACATGGAGCCTCCTTCGTCTACCAGCCTCCAAACAAGATGCTGAAAGTACACAGCACTTGCAACACCCCCAAGAACTGACAGGGAGGCATTTGAGCCTTATGAAGAGTTCTCACCCACTCTGCAGGCGTCGTCAGCCGCCTGTGTTTTCATGCTATCTCAGCGTGTGGTGGGTGAGAAAGGAGGGGGCAGTTTGCATAGCAACCTCCTACACCCAGACAGCTCAGCTGTTGTGCCCTCCCAAAAGAAGAGGGGAAGGGCAAGCCGAGTCTGCTTTCCCATGGCTAACACCTCCACGGGC